TCGATGCGCATCAAGCCGGCCGTCAGGTCGTGTTGTAGCCGTGGCTTTGTGCGTCCCTCAAGCAGCTTGGCCAGTGTGAGCACCTCCGTCTCCGGCAGCTTCTCTAGTAGCTTCTCTCTTGCCGACTCCGCTGCCCGTAGCCATGGCAGCTGCAGTAGTGCTGCCGCTCCGTCCTCCCCTCCCTCCCCCCCTCCCTCCCCCTGTGGCATCCATGGCGCCAGCTGGTAGTGTCTCCACACGTATAGCAGCGTCACAGCGGTGCAGCCGAGATATGCCGCCGGCAGGATGGCGCTCGCCGCCGTAATGCCCATTTCCCCCTCTCTCACTGGTAGGGCCATCTGTCGTCGCTGCGGCTCGGTGGTGTCCTCCTCTCCCAGCCCGTGGATGGCGATGGCTGCATTCATGACCTCCTCATCCCTCAGCAGCGCCGTGACCTCGGTGGTTGAAGGGCGCTGGGGAAGGAGACGAAGCCAGTAATACAGCCGTGCGACTGCGCAAGAGCGGAAGAGGAGCGATGAGTCCTGCCGGTGCTCGTTTGCGAACGCCTTGAGTCGTTCGATGAGGGGGCGGTGGGAGTCGAGGACGCTCTGCAGCTTGTTAGCGACGTAGCTGTCCGTCCATATTGCCCCGCCCAGGATGTCAATGCCCTCACTGGAGAGCCCCTCCCTCTCAAAGCCAGGCAGCAGGTCGTCCGGTGGTGGCTCTCTGTCCGTCCAGTGGGGGCCGTACGCCTTGCTCTTCTTCCTGGCCAGCTTGAGGCTGATAGTCTGCAGCTCTTCCTCTGCCTTGTCCACCACCCCGTCTGCCTTACTCTTGTCGGCCCCCGGTGTGATGTCGTTCATGAAGGCTTGTATGAGGGCGCGTGGAAAGCTGGCTTGGATGGCCTTGAGTACTGGCTGGAGGGCCAGACAGAAGAGGAAGGGGCCGGCCGGCTCTCCTTGCTGAGTGCCTTGCTGGCTCAGGATGGTCCTCACTCTGCCGTCTGCGAGTCGATACCACAGCTTCGCCGGCTCTCCATAGAACTGCCAGAGAAAGTGAAAGAGCTCAGGGAACTGGCTGGCGAGCTCGTTGACGATCGCCTGACGGTCCACCTCGTTGAAGGCGTTCGTGCAATCCAGCGTCGTGAGCAGTCGCTTCTCGCCCTCCCTCCGGCTCTGGATGAAGGTCTCGGCGGCCTTGAAGAGCTTCTCGTTGCCTGCTGGGGTGCCGACTGCGCACTGGAGAGGGGCGAAGTAGGCGGCCATCTTGTTTTTGTGCTGCATGCACACTGCTCTCGTCACCCATCGCCGCACTGCGTCCCCCACCGCCACCGGCCGCACCTTGCCGGGCCCCTTCGTCAGCGCCATCAGGTTTGCGGTGCCGAGCAGCTTGGTGACAAGCTGTGAGAGCTTCGCACTCAGCAGCCGTCTGATGATCTTGGGGAAGGGGATGCGCTCCTCTCCCTGCCAGAGCCCTTGCTTCGACAAGTTGAGGTAGCCCAACAGATGCTCGAAGCGCCAGCCGGACGGCCCTGGTGCTGCGCCTTTTGCTGCGGAGCGGAGTGCCTTCGCGAGCATCTTGGGTGGGACGTCGAGTGCCTCGGGCTCCACGTTGACGGCCGGCTTGGTGACGGGCGTGTTGCGTGAGGGGTGGAGGGCTTGCAGCTTGGCGTATGTCTCCTCCGTGGCTGGGGCGAGTGGGGTGAAGTCCAGCTTCTTGGCCGCTCGTGTGAATTCCCCAAGCTCCACTAGCCGCTTGGCTGGTCGTGGGTGGGGTGGGTGGGTGTGGGGTGGATGGCCGGTGTCGTCTCGGTGCTTGTCTGTTCTACCCAGATAGAAACCCTGGTTAAAAAGCTTGTCGAGCTCGTCGAGAGCGCAGTCCCACTCGGAACTGGAAAAGTGATTGTATTCCTGGTCTGTGTCAGAACGCAAAGCACCCACATCAACGTCCCAGAACTTGAAAAACATGTCAGGGTTGCACACAAAAACCGGCCCGACCGCCAGGATCGGGACCTGATCAAGCAGGAAAAGAAAGGCATACACACTGCATCAAACAAACTGTAGCTCTCTTCTGAGAATTCGGACCTTATTTAAAGGGCCGGCTTGCACTCCTCCGTTTGATGTTTTCGATGGAAAAGGTGAAACTATCGTCGAGCATCTCCTTCAACTCCCACCACTCCTCCTTTTGCTGCTGCTTGAAGCTGTCCAGCTCCTGCTCGAGCTCCTGCCGCTCCTTCTCGATCACCTCCTCGATCTTCCTGTTCATGTACTCCTCGAAACGGGCGAATAAGGCGTCCACATCGGCCGAAGCTGCACGTAGCGAGCAAACAGGACGACCGACACAGCCAATCAGGCCGAACACATTATGCAGAGAGCGAGCCCTGCCATCCCTCCCCCCTCCTCACCAACATCAGGCTTCTTCCCTGCAGCAGGAGCAGGAGTGGTGTTGTCGTCGGGGGGAGGGCTTCCCTCCTGGCGGACAGATGGGTCGACAGACACACATCACAGCCAGAGGTGCTTTCATGGGCATTTGGGGGTGCGAGTTGGCATCCACGTCAGGCACATACCTGTGGTTTGCCCTCCGCTTCTGAGAAGAGAGGCACCAGCGACGCAGACGGTGACGCCTGAAACGTACACGGGCACGCGTAGAGTATGCACGCGTGGAAGTGGCTTCGTGGATCACATACCTTGTGCCGATGCACAATCGGTGATACTAGAGGGGACAAAACGAAGCGTTCGCGCGCGCAGTGCGTCAAACATACCATCTATCTTAGGTACCTGTGGCATATGGCATAAGCGCATCGGCCGGCTTGAACGTCGATACACCTCGCAGTCGCGGACCTTTGACGCACACGCATACAATGCACGTTATTTGTCAGCCGTCTGGTGCTCGTGCATGGTGTCGCTGTGTGAAGTCTGTCTGCAGATCCCGTCTTCGACTGATGGCTGCAGCTCTGACTTGCCACAGCCGTACGTACCTGAGGTGCTCTTGTGGACCACCGGGTGCGGAGGTACAAAAACTGAGAGATCTTGATGATCTGCAAGGACGCACAAGCAGGCAGATTGTCAACCGAGGGAAACGGTGTGACTGTGAACCATCAGACTGCACTCACGTTGTTCGCCGTGACACACAGACGGAACGATGAGCAACAACAACCATAACATCATCGCTCAGAAGGGTTCGTATGGTGCGCATGTGTTTCTGCGAGTGCCTGTGTCTTTAATCCATACAGACTCTAGATCAGGAGGGTCCCCCATGCTTCTCCCTCCTGCTGGCTGGCTTAGGACAGCCTGAGGTGCCGTCAAACCCTTAATCAAAGGGGGCGAAACTCAGGCGGGAATTTTTCATCTGTCCTTAACCGTGTGATGGCGCGGGCTCTTTGACCCGTGACGTGATGAAATGGATGGCATAGCTTCCGCCATCGCCCACAGGCAGCGGACGGGACGCGCTGTTGACTCCCTCCTGAGGCCAGTCGATGGCACGCGAGGTGACTTCACATACCATAAAGGACGTGCACACACCGGCGTGCATTGCATGCACCGATGCATGACATCATTGACATGCGTTGCCTGGCCTGCAGGTCTGCTGCTCAAGAAGGGGCTCACGCCAAAGGACCACCAGATCATCAATGTCAAGCAAATGCGCCAGACGGAAGCTAAGGTCGTCATGACAAAATAACATTCTGGCATATGACGACGCTTCTGTTTGTCTGTGGATGAACATTGTGGTCATCTGGTCATCGACCAGGTGAAGGCTGCGAAGCTGAGCGCGTTGGCTCCCCAGCCTGAGCCCTGGAAGATGAGTCGATTCAAAAATACGAAGGCTATCGTATTCGCCACCAAGGTACTGAATCGGTACGGGGGGGAAGGACCGCCCTCTTTTCACTGCGGACGTATCTCTCTCTGTTTCCTTTGTAGCCTGGCGGTCCTTCTCATGAGTACCTGAAGGCCCGCACTGGCAGGACGTGCATGAGCCAGACCAACACCACTGGTACACCGATACGCACATACACTCTGCAGACAGAGTCGACGCATGGATTCACGATGCATGGACGGCATCTCATGTGGTCTGTCTGTCTGTCTGCATGCATGCATGCAGTTGCTGTCGAGGGGGAGGAGGGGCAGAAGGGGGAGGGCATCCAGGGTGATTGACTGATTGATTAATGATTGATGCTCCCAACAAACAATGTTCGTGGGGACTCTGCCATACGTGTGGATGTAATGTCCTGTGCAGAGGTTGCCGCTGAGGCTTCTGGCGTTGCGCGTGCTGCTTCCCGCCCGGACACTGCGTCGTCCACGTCGCGTGTGGTCGACTTCAGCCATGCACGACCCAAGGCAAGCTTCGGAGGAGGCCGCATCTATGCGACACACACATATACAGGCATGTCTGCTGGTATCTCTCCTCTCAGGTGCCCCTGGCCTCTGACGCCCTCCCGCCTCCTAAACACGAGGTGCGTACAAGGGATGGATCGATTGTTGATGCCTAGGGAGCATGGTACTTGTGGCTGGACGGTCGGCGGGGCACTGCAGGCTGCCCGTGATTACGTGCTGGAGAACGCACTGAGGGTCATCAAGGAGGCACACGTGGACGGGAAGGGGGAGGGGGGGCCGGGCGAGGTAAACATGGATGGGCAACACGAGACAGACAGACAGATAAGAGTCAGTCATCAATGGCTTGTGGTAATCTGTCTGTCTGTCTGTCTGTCGTCGGTGCCGTGGTTCGTGTGGTCAGGTTGATATTGCGTGTGGTCGTAGCGAGTGCTCTGCGGTGTCGCACGCCAAATCGTTGAACGATTCCTACGGGGAGGTGCCCAAATACATACAGGTCGTGAATACATGCACAAGGTAGCGTGGAAGTGCTCAGTTGTCGGTGGTTCTCAGCGTTTCAAGAGTGAGCGTGCTGCCGCCGCCGCTGCTGAGGTGGCTGCCAAGGAGGCCGCGGCCATCCCCCACGGCTACCGCATGATGCCCGATGAGGAAAGGTCCGCTGCTCCATGCACTGTTCCGATTGAATGGCACTGTCGGTCCTTCCTGCGTGCCAGGTCCGACACCCTGCGCGTGCTGACGGAGAAGAAGATGCAGCTGGAGGTATGCACAACTTGAGCGGATGGATCCTTTCCTTGTTTACACACATGCACTGCAGGCGGCGTACAGCAAGCTGCCCCTTCGCATCGTTACGGAGAGGCAGAAACGATACCAGGTGCACTGACAGCATCCGCCGCGCCGACTCAGCTCATGGATGTGTGTTGTTTATTTCTGGTGTCTGTTTCTCCGAAAGGCTTCCCTCGAGCAGCAGCTGACTGATATCGAGGGCGCCATTAAAGTCTTCTCCAAGAAGACCGTCCTCATCGAGCTGGATGCATGAGGCAGCGACGTGCACCCGTGGCTGACTGCTAGACGTAGATGAGTGAGTTGAGTGTTGGAGTTGGCGGACGCACCAGTGTTGTGTGTGTTTCTTTTTCGTGTCTTGTTTATCATGTGCTCCGTGGACAAATACAATGTGTTGGTGCGTGGAGCCGTGGAACGTTCCACTTTGCAAAGGTCTCCCCTTCTCTCGTGTACAAGAACGAGCCCCAGTCTATAAGGCTGGCGCCTGACGTTTAAGAGGGGAGGAGTGCACGTCATGTCACGTCATGCGATCAAGTACAGGGGCGAGCCAAGATACAAGTAGTTTCTCGAGACTTCACCGTCTTTGAGCATATATGTCTTCTATAGTGCTACACGGGGCTGGGAGTGTTCTCTCTGTCTGAAGCTTTCGCCCACACATCCAATGCTTCTTCAAAACACAGGCGAATTGACAAAAAGTGAAGATCATGATCACGCTGGTGTCGGGAGCTTGTCGCCCTCGAACGTGGTCTCCTCGACGCCGTCTTCGGATATGGTGGTCATGCGCACCATGCCGCCCGAGCTGGCGTCCCTGGCCATGGCGTGGCTGAGGAGCTTGAGGGCCAGCTGCTGGGCCTCCTCCTTGGTCATGTCCTCCTTGTAGAGGGCGTCGATGAGGCCCGAGATGTACACGGACCCGCTCCCGCCAGCCGTCACGTTGACCTTGATCTTGCTCCCGCCGATGGGCAGCGAGTATATCTGGCCGCCACGCTTGCCGTCCCACCCCGCCACGATGAGGCCCGACATGAGCATGTCCTTGTAGTCGTAGTGGAATGACTGGAACAGGGTGGCCGCCGTGTTGACACTCGGCAGCTCGCCCAGCTCCAGTGAGTGGATGTTCAGGTAGTACTTGACGAACTGCGTCAGGGCCTGCGTGTCGGCCGCACTGCCCGAACGACAGACGTAGATCTTGTCGTGCACCTGAGGGAAGACGAGACGCAACCACACACAAAACCACCGAAACATATGATGCCGTTCTGCCAAGCTCCTCGGCATTCTGTCTGATTCCTCTGCCTACCTTGGATATCTTCCTGGACGCTCGGTTGACCACATACGCTCCAGCCGACGTGCGCGTGTCCGCTGCCAGGACAACGCCGCCCTTGTAGCTCACTGCAAGGATGGTGGTGCCAGTGCCGACCTCATCCGCACGACTGCACGCGGCAGACGGAACGCCCATCACGAAGGGAGGGGCAGGAGCTGAGAGAGTGCCTGATGCCATCTTTCTTCGCAATGGAATCCGTCAATGCGCAGTGCTAGAGCAGATGTCCTAAAAACAATCCGTGCGCGACCAAACACCTGATCTACGAGTCCAACACGAAGGCAACGGCCGAAAGAATCTGTGCGACACACACACAGAGAGTCTCGACAAACACAAGAAGCGTCAGAAGCCATCGCACCGTCCGCAATGTCGACAGAAGAGAGCGATGAAACGGGACCTATCAAACGCTTCAAAGGTCAGACGACAGGATGGCATTTGCATCTATAGTAGGCGATTCTATCGGTGTTTCCGCACGCAGGTCTGCATGACTACCTATCGAACTTCTACCCATGTAAGTGACGTGGGGGAGCCAATGGATGGATGGGATATTCTCTGACCTCTCCTCTTGCCTCTCGCAGGTTCCGTCACCTTCGAAGAACGTACCTACCCATCCGTAGAGCAGTAAGATACGGAGATCTCACCATGCGTGGCCGATGCTCATACGGATGTTGGCTCTCAGTGCGTTTCAGGCGGCCAAGAGCATGGACGAGGGGGTAAGGTAATTCAGGACACCCTGCGTGTCCCCCCATTGTCTGCGATCACTCATCGTTCGACCTGTGGCTGCAGGACCGGGAACACATCGCGTCCATCAAAGAACCAAGAGAAGCGAAGCGCGCCGGCAAGTACGCAATCGACGTCATGACGGGTGACGACCAAGACCATGCACCCTTCCTTTGTATGGATGCGTTCTATCCAGGAAAGTCCAGCTCAGACCTGACTGGGGAACGTACGCCCAGCTAGCCAACACGATGTTGACATTTGCATATGAGCAGGCCATGTGGGATGGTGATGGTGTGGCTTTCGTTGTACTCAAAACTCAGGGCCCGCGTCGACATCATGAAACAACTTCTGATGGCCAAGTTCACATCTGACAAGGAGCTGACGGACAGACTGGTGGCCACTGGAGACCGTCATCTTGAGGAGGGCAACACGTGGAATGACAAGTAAGAGCGCAATACGGACATCATGCCGTAGGAGAGTGTGTGCCAAGTAAGAAGGTGGATCGCTTCGTGGTGCCACATATCTGCAGGTTTTGGGGCGTGTGCAACGGACAAGGGGAGAACAAGTGAGCCAGGACGAGAGATCGAAGGATTGCCGGTGCTTCTACTCACCTGTATGCTTTGATGCGTCGTTTCTCAAGGCTGGGTGTGCTGCTCATGGAGGTCCGCAGCGCCCTCAGGGACGGTGCAGGGGAAGGGCAAGCCGCAGCAGCAGCAGCAGGGATGCCAACGAACCGACAGGTTTCATGCGCTGGCTCCCTTGTGTCTGGTCTGCTGGAGTGTAAGTATGTGTGCGTGCACGCAGGCTAGCGAAGACAAAGCAGCTGGGCAGAGTGAGCAGAAGGAAAACGGCGAGAGCAGCAAGGACGACAAGAAGGTATGTATGGACACCAACAAAGGACAAAGTTCCTCCCTTTTTTGGCGGATGGTTGCAGGCTCCCTCTCCGCCTTCCTACCGCCCTCAAGGCAAGTCGGCTGCTGGTGAGTACACGCAGATATTCCTGCGCGTGGGCTCGGTATTGAGCAATGGGTGTGCATATACTCTGTGTGTGCAGCGACTGGCACGGGCCACGACTTCGTGTTGGAGGAGGTGCAAAGGGACCTCTTCAAGCTGGATTCCACATATGCACTGGGTACAACAACACGAATCAAGGATAGCCGGACAGCCCTACTTGCGTGGCTTTGGATTGGTTTCGGGCAGGCCATTGCGTCAGTCGTGATCTGCAGATGGGGAAGGGTATCGCCAAGACGTTCAAAGAGCGGTTCGGGGTAAGCGATGCACCAGGAGGACCCACCCCATTTCAACGTTCTTGGCTTCTCTCTCCTTTTGGTCAGGGTGTGGAAGAGCTCAAGAGTCAGGACGTGGGTGTGGGGGATGTGGCTGTGCTGCACCATCAAGGTAACGCATGGGCATCCACACCTGTACCCGATGGACGTATTGGGTGGACGCAATGCAATGCAGGTCGCTTCCTCTATTATCTCGTGACCAAGGAGAAATACCATGGAAAACCGACGTAGGACAGGAGAGAGAAGAGGGCCTTGCATGTATAGCTGCGCACATGGCAAAGCGGGACACATGTGTCAGGTACGACACACTGAAGGACTCACTCGTCAGCCTGAAGCGACTCCTCATACAGCATGACACCAAGAAACTAGGTAAGGATGTGTGGCGGGCGGGGCGTGGACGTGATGCATGGCTAGCTGGCTGCGGGTCTTTGTGCTGTGCAGGTCTCCCGCTGATTGGCTGCGGACTCGACAAGCTAGAGTGGCCGAAAGTCAAACAGATGATACGAGAAGGTACACCTACGCATTCATTCACCTGTCGAAAGCTGTTCGTGGGCATCACAAACCCTCTTCTCTGTGCAGTTCTCGGATCCCTGTCTCTGCGCATCACTGTGTGCGTGAAGGGCGACGTCTCCGCTGCAAGTGCTGCGGATGACGACGTCGAAATGACCGACGGGCAGGGTGGCGAGGGGGGCGGAGGTACGCATGCGACGCGGACACTCCCCTCTGGCACATGTACGTCCGTGACATGTATCCACAACACAGGTGGCAACGACGAGGACACAGGAGGCGATGGTGGGGCTGGGAGCCAGCGCAAGAGGCGATGGAAGGTCGACCAACAGGCCAACAAGGTGGGAATGCACACACAGCCACCTGCGGGGACATACATGGATGGGTGTGGTCAGGGTAGCGGCGATGAGCCCAAGGTCAAGCAGAAGAAACAGGGCAGCATCGATGCACCTCGGGTAAGGGACACCGATGCACCCACACAAAAGAAAACGTACCGACCTCTGCACCATGGTGCAGCCCATGGGCACGCCCTCGCCATCTGGGCCCGCCTTTTCCTATGAGGAGAGAAAGGGTGACATGTTCAAGCTTCTGGACAAGACCTATTCCCTCGGTGAGACGAAACGAAAGTGTCCACACGCATCGGAACGTGGGTCTGCATTTTGTGGTATCATATCTGTCAGTTCACTGCGTCGCTGTCAACGACAATTTCTCAAAGGGCATCTGTCAGCACTTCGCCAAGATCAAACCGGTGCGTCTGCCTCTGAACAGAAGTACACATGATGGACATGCAAGTGTGCTGTTGTGTGTACAGTCGATCCAGCGTGAGGTTGCGAACCAGCACCCGTCGGTGGGCAAGGCGATAGCCGTTCCGAGAAACGATGGCGACAGCGGTGGGCAGGCATGGCTGACAGGCATGCGCACACACGATAATGAGTGCATCGTGCATTGCAATGCAGGTCCGCCCTTCCTGTATAACCTCATCACGAAGGTACGAAGGGAGGGAGGAAGGACACTATGGATGGGAAGAGACTATGCATGGTAAGGCCAAATATTGGGAGAAGCCCACCTACCACGACCTCGAGACATCACTCTGTGACCTGCTCGCACACGTGGTTTCCAAGAACGTATGTGCGCATAGACGGACAGATCAATGCACTGGGCGGAGGCACACAAATCGATCCAAATGGTTGCGTCGATCCATGGGTGTCTGCGAGTGTTGTGCAGGTGAGGGCGTTGGGCATGCCCAAAATCGGTTGCGGCCTCGATAAGCTGGATTGGCCGACAGTGAGCAGCATGATCAAAGACATCTTCAAGGACACCGATGTGAAGATCACTGTCTGCTATTTCTGACCGACCATGTAGCTCAGTTTGACTCGACTCACATTACATTGTTTGGGGCGATGTATTGACTTTGGCTGATTTTCATTTTCGGGATGTCCATAGACCTCTTACGTATGCATCTGCACACCAACGACGGCCGGGCAATCGACTCGTCGTCAGGGCTGTATCGGTGCATACCTCGCCGTCGGTCAGCACGGAGACAGACAGACAGGCGGACAAGAGAGGACGCGATGCGTAGTCGCAGAGGGTCAGGACCTCTCTCATCCCAGACTGGGTGAGGCACATATTGCTGCACCAATGCACGCGCAAGAGGCTGCGTTTAGGTGGGCATATGTGCGTGTGCGGACGAGCCTCTCTCATGCCAGCTGTTGAACGAAAACATCTGAAAATCACATAGTTGAGTCCGCCATCCCTTGCGATTGTATGCACATCCAGCAACGCAGTACTGTACACCAATCAACGTCGAGCACACATTCTGCTGACAGACACTTCAGACAGCCATGGACACCACTTGTGCGCATGCAATGCATGCCGAGCCGAATCTGCCTGCATTTGGGCTAACTTCACTCTTCCTTCTTCTTCTCCTTTTCCGCATCTGCATCTGCGCAAATCGGTTCTGTATCTGACAAACACAAGGCACACAACAAGAGAAAACACAGACAGACAGACTGTGAGGGAGGGAGGGACTGTGGGGGAGTGAGTGAAGCCATTGCGATCATTAATCAATTCCATGTCTGTCTGCGGCTGACCCCATTCTGGATCTGTGCCCCGACTGGCCGCTGAAAGACAACACACAATTCAATAGACAGACACAGACGTGTGGTTGTGTGGGGTGACCGATTCACATGCATACATACGTCTGCGCAGGATGACGAGGATAGGATCCTGAGCGCTCCTCCCTCTCTGCCGATACTCATCATCGTCAACCCCGGTCACCCCTTGGATCATCAGATCATCCGCCGTGACGTCCACCCACGGCCAAATCCTCTTCATGCTCTTCAACATCATTGCGTGCAGGTCCCTGAGGTCGGCTGGCGGGCCACACTCGTCCACCACTGCGGGCTGCATCGTCAGTTGGGCGTCATGCTTGCTGTCTGGCCATAGTCCCCGCAGCTTATACACCTTGACATGACTGTCTGGGGAACGAAGTGGCAACCTTGATGAAGATCCGTTGCCCATGCAATGGCTCTTGCTGGGCCACAGCGCCCGTTCTTGTGTATGTAGCCGGAATCGGTGTTTGCCAACGCTCTACAAGGCAGCCAGTGCTCTCTGTTGCCATCTGTTTGTCCGCCGGTGCCAGTGTAGGGAGGGGTAGACAGGCCGTGTGCATGCTTTGCATGTACATGCTGCTAGTTTAGTGCGTGAGACAACAGGATTCCTCCGGGTTACAGACACGAGTCTCGTTAAACACACTAACCAACCAACCAATGAGGGAGGTCTAGGGTTCCATGAAACCGTAAAGAGCCAAACCCTAGAGATCCGCCCCCTGTCCCGTCTCTTTTGGGATCCACCTCCGGGAGGCTGTTGTCCGCATATCTGGCCTTCCCTCCGTCGCTCCCAGCTGTCCGTCGCTCCGACTGTTGTCCGACTGTTGAGGGCAGGAAGATCTTTGTCCCCTCTGCAAACAGCAAAGGCACCATGACTCTATCGATCGCTCGAGTCTTCTGCTTCATCCTGTTGGCAACTGTAACGCATGGTGGATACAATGGCGACGAAGCCAGCCAGATGGAGCCGCACGGTGGGAGGGAGGGAGGGAAGGACCCCTTGTCGCTCAGATTTTGCTTGCCTCACACTCTTGCTTGTCTCTCACTTTCGCTTCCTGCAGGCCATTTCTGGGTTTGGGGCAACAAGACTCTCGTTGTGGTCGACCCTGTCAGCGCCAGGTATCAAGTACCCAGGACAGGCAAGAGGGCCATGCTGGCACAGGTCACTCAGCACACCTCACAATGATGTGACATGGACTCTTTTCAGAGTTGTGAACCGTCTTGCCCTCGATGCTGAGCTGTGGAGCGACCCCGTGTACGCAGACGGATACCCCGTGATCACCGAGCGAAACGAAGAGGGCGACAGCGAGCTGTACGTGTTCAACACGGATCCGGTTTCCATCCATTCTAGAATGCTCGTACGTTCCAGAGAAAGATACACCCTTCTTGCGATATCAAGGATTTGCTCGTGGCTTGTAGGTTGGCGAGCGCCCATACCACATTTATTACGTCCCATTCCGCCGCGAGGTACGTCCACCCGTTCGTTGTGTGGTGTCATATGTGCGATGCAATACAATGTGCGGTGCGGTGCATGACAGGTCTGGTCGCATTCGGACTATGAAGGCCAGTTTGACGTCCTGAGCCTCCAGGTATGTGATGTGTGTTGGCCTCGATCGTCGGTTACGCCGAGTTTGCTACGTTCTGTCCTGCACGCAGGATCTCACTGAGCTGCACTACCCCGGAGTGAAGGCGTACAATGAGACCCCGAGCCACGGAAAGTTCCTCTTCGACTCTGAGGTATGCCTGACACGTGGATCCACAAGCACTATCACTAACAAAGGTTCCTGTCCTCGTACGATGTGCTCACTTGTGTCTGGCTACTCCCTTTTTTTTTGTCAGTGGGGATCCATGGCCTTCGCCACTACGTCCTGTAAGGCTCCTGCATGTGACACTCAACGGTCACATTATCGTGCTTGTCACTGCAGTGGACCCTGGCATCCACGAGATGGATTTGGAGAACAAAGACTACGTCAGGTTCATTAATATGTCTGACCCTATCGACGAGTCTGGTGTCGGCTGTCTCGGAACCCACGACCTTGCGGTCTTCAAAGACGCCAACGTCCTCGTTGTCGAGTGCACCAAACCGGCTGACGAGCGTAAGCACACCTCGACATACATGTACACGCCACCAGTGAAGCTCTGAAACCGTGTGGTTGGAATGGTTGTTCAGGCGCTATTTGGGAGGTGGATGCCGAAACTCTCGAGCCGTTGTTCCGTCACGCGCCTATGAACGGAGCGACCTACGCCGTGCCTGACGCCGGGGACCTCGTGTTCGTAGGGGACCGCCGTGAGAACAAGACTCACATTCTTCGCAAGACCAGTCGCGATGCCGAGACTGAGGTCTTTTCGGTGACGCTGCCTGAGTAAGGACACCCGACGACTCTTGTGTGATGAGCTCTTTCTCTTGTTCTCACGCCACCAAGACTGCCTCATTTTCGATCTCTCTCGTGGTTTTGTGACTTAGGCCCTGGAAGGTTGCATTCTACAACACCCACCCGGACCCTCAGAACGTGTCGCACTGGCTGGTAAGTGCTATGCACATGCACTACAAACAAGGGCAGGCACAGACGATTGCTTTTGACGAAATGACACACAGGCGTTTGTGGGCCTTGAGCGTGAGGGCATTGCTGTGCTTGATATGACCGCTCTGATTGACGGTGAAGAGTCCCCTTATGAGATCCTTGGTGGGTGCATGCGAAACTTCAGCCGAGACACCTGCCGGTCTTTTCATTTCTCTGGTCTGTCTTCTTCTCTCAGAGCTCGGCCCTGGCAACCAGTACCGAGCTGTGGAGCGCGGTGGCCCGTGGATTGCTACAACCCTTGCTGACGAGTAAGCAACGCACCATAGCTGTACTGGCGCACCGACACCACCGGGTGTGGTCGGTGTGCTGATGTACACATGTGCGGTGTTTGTGTGAATGCAGTGAGTTCAACACCTTCGGCCTGGCCATCATCGATGCCGAGACGCTAGAAGTGCGCGAAGTGGAAGGAATCCCCGAGTAAGGAGGAGACACGCGAGCCCTTACTGTGTCGCCAACACGCATTTCATGGCCTCTGTTTGTGACCGACACAGGATGGCCGAGCGCGTCCTGTGGGTGCCCGACGAGAAGGGCGCCCACCAGGAAATCCAAGAGCTCAAGGATCGCATTGAGGTCAGCGTTGTCTTTTCCCTCTTAGTGACAGGGAACTTTATGCGCTGTGCGGTGTGTGCTCTTGTTTCTTACAGGAATTGGAGAAGATGATCGAGCAATTGGGTGTCGTGGGTGGCGGCCTGCGTGCGCTTCGCGGTCGACAGGGTGCCTAAGTATGCGCACAAGTGGTCCGTCGCTGAAAGCTTGATGGGCCTATGAGAGAGATTTGGTGTGTGGATCGGGTACACGAGGGGCGTCGTGTGTCTCATATATGCCACCGCTCTGCCTTCTTTTCGTACTGGTTTCTTGGCCTTGCTCTCGCGCTGTCCCGTTTTGATGGAGGTGCTTTGGTGGCGGTGCGTTGTTTTGGGTTGACTTGACTGAAGCGATGGCGATGGGGCTTTTTTCGCGCAGCTCTGTGGCAGGCAAAGAGAGTCCATGCGTGGGTCTGTGAGGATTCGATGGTCCTATGAGAGAGATTGGTGTGTGAATCGCAGAATTTCTAAGTGGCACTCGGGCACACGAAGGGGTGTCGTGTTGCTCGAGGGGATGTCGTGCTCGTATATGCCATCGCTCTGTGATTGGTGTGTGGATCAACGCCTGATCGCAATGCCCGATCGCAGTTTTCTAGTGGCAGTCGGGCACACGAGGGGGTGTCGTGTGCTCGATGGTGTCGTGCGTGCTGCTCGAGGGGGTGTCGCGTGCTCGAAGGGGTGTCGTGCTCGTATATGCCATCACTGTGATTGCTGTGCGGATCGTCCGTTCGTTCAACGCCTGATCGCAATGCCTGATCGCAGAATTTTTTCGTGGCAGTCGGGCACACGAGGGGGTGTCGTGTTGCTCGAAGGGGTGTCATGCTCGTATATGCCATCGCTGTGTGATCGGTGCGTGGAGCTCTTTCTTTCATCGGTGTTTCTCAGGGGGGCTTTATTGAGCTGCATGATGTATTCAGACCTGGCTCAGACGGACACATAGTCGTTGTGGTCCGTCCTGACGGTACTTGCGGGAAAGAGACGTATCCTTGAACACCGTTGCGAGGTGGCATTTTGAGAGGTCTGAAAGACCGAATTCGCGCACCATTTGATTCCGTCTCCAGCTCCTTCTCAGTTATGTTATCAGTGGAATGACTCTCAGCTAAAGGGAGGGAGGTGTTCTGGCAGCATCAGTCGCCATTAGGCACACACAAATCCGGCCGAAAAAGGCCAGGATAAGCTGTGAGGCGTTTGTGTGTGCCACGGTGGCTGTGCCACGTACGCGAACGAGAGGAATGATCCTGAGGAGCACACAACGAATGGATGGTAGGCGGAAGACACGGCTGACGCGAGAGGCCCAGAGACTGAAGGGAAGGTGGTGCAGTATGCAGGATCGACGTGAGCTGACGGGCGACAGCGATGCCGTGTCACTTGTGGTCTCGTCTTCTTGTGCATCAGCGGCACATGGTGTGTCGGCCACAGTCGCTGCCAGGCCGCGAGGACCTCCGGGATGGCCTCCTGCAATGTAATGCAAAAACCCGAAAGACATGCACACGTGAGGGGGAGAGAGAATTAGAGAGAATCACACACAGATTCGTACCCATTGGTGGCGTCAAGGTGGCGGCTGGTAAACAAGCAAGGCTGGCACAACACGACATGCAGCCAGGCAGGGTTTAGGGTTTACCAAAACGAAAAGAGGGCAACCACAGGTGCAACCGCAGGTGCAACCGCAGTACCGGAAGCCGTTAGCAACGGCAGACTTTTCAAAGGCTTCGCTTCCTCGAAGGCTTCGTTCGTGCTTTCGTGCATTCCTCTCCCTCTCTTGTCTGTGTGCCTTCCCCCTCGTTTCCTCTCGCCCTTCATTCGTGACTATGATGCGCCTCGGCATTGTCGCTGTCGCCATTGTGTTCTGCGGTGCCGGTTTGGCGGCTGCACGGGGCCCACGTAGGAGCAGCAATCGGAAGGAAGATTGAACGAATGATGTGTTCTGTTGTGTCATGGCTCTTTGTCAGGAGAGAAGCAGGCCAGCTGCGTGTTGCCTCCCGAGATCATCACAACGAACATCTGCAATGTCACCACAGAGCCAATCGGGTCAGTCGATTGCAAGCAACACACTGCACGGTCTTGAGTGTCTAATGGTTCTCATTTGGCACGCAGGACGTACCTGAATGTTTCCGATGCTGCAATTGTTTCCGATGCAATTGAGGTGACCAACATAACGGCTGAGATTGGTCCCGCCGAGCCCCCGTCGACGGGTGAGTTTGTCTTTCGCTCGACGGGATCATCGGCGAGAGCTCCCTGCAGCTCACCTGCCTGTGAGCGAAGCGAGCGAGCGGTCACTCACCCTGCAAGTTCACTTTTTATGCATTGTACCTTTCTATGCAGAGAGGGCGCGCCGCTAGATCAGGTAGATAGGATCCTACCTGTATGGATTGACAAGGCAATGGGCGGGCGGGCTGTCTGGTTGGATTGATGGTGACAGATAGTTAACTTCAATGTGACGTTTACGACGACGACCGGGGTGACAATCGACGGAGAGGATGTTGAACTTGTTGACACTGTCGACTGCAGGGTGCCCGTCATCTGCCGGGCTGCGGCCACCGAGGAGTCTGGCACATCTGTCAAGTGCCTCGGCGGCCACTTGGACAAAAGCAGCTCGGAAAAGCCCATCAGGTAATCGGGGTGCAAGAGAGAAGAAAAGAGGGGAAGGCAGAGAGCTAGCAAGAAGGCATGCGTACAAAGTGGTCGATCTGTCCGTGGTTGGCTTCATTATCACATGTGTGTAGCGAGTTCGCGCGTGTGGCGGGCGGTGGGAATGGCTGGCGGGCGTAGTATGTGGGGGTCCCGACTGAGTTTGCGATGCTGCACGGCCCCAAGAGAGGCAACAACAAGGGCCTGGCCATCAAGAAGGACCTCAACTCGCAGACCCTCAAGATGGTCCGCGACCATGTGGGACAGGCCAACAAACAGGTGACAAACAGAAGGAGGAAACGACATCATCAAAGGCCATAGCGATTTGGTTGCGTGGATTTTTGTATGCAGAAGATCATCGTGCCTGTCTTATTCAAGTTCCGAAAAGGCGACCAGGTGGTCAGCAAGAGGTGCCCTGTGCGCATGACTGGCAACTAAGTTTGTCGGAAGTGAGTTGCCCAGCAGCATGGTCGATGTTCGCATTCGCGCCTGCCTATGTGATGCGATGTGACGCATGTCATCTCATCTGTGGACGAATTTTCTTCCTGTCCCTGTATGTCGCCATATGTGCATGCCCGTCCTGGTTGTTCATACATATGTATACACATACGTAGGTACACTCCAGCTACCTACATGCGCTGACATCTGTACTTGCGTTTTCTGCCAGCGAGAGACCACCTGTGTGTGGCTCTGTGCTGGCCTGTGTGTGCTGCGCCGGGCTGGCTGGCTGGCTGGCTGCCCGACTGGTTGCCTGATTGCACCACACATGTGTATGGCGTACGATGCTCTGGTCTTGTATGGATGGAGGCGCTGCACGTTCCCGCTCATGCCCGTGACGGAGAATTTTCTTTCCCTCCATGTATGTCATTCATGTGCACGGCATAACGGATTGGGTGGTGGTTTGGCTTACAGATGGATGGATGGATGGATACATCCACGCATACATACGCCATGTGAGGGCTTGTCTGTCTGGCCCATTTTGTCGCACTTGCGTATCCCTGACTTTTGTTCATAGGTTTGTCCAGTCATGTGGCTACATTGCCCACTCCCACATTTGTCGCCCACGCCTGTCTATCGCACAATGTGTCGCATAGGTCTTCTACAGTGTGTCTCTTTGTCACATGCGCCTCTCTGTTAATGGCTTGCGTCGTCTCTGTAAGTATCGGAGATCTGACTTTATGCGTCCAGACAGAGGCACATCAGTGCGTTGTTTGCCATATTTGTGTGCGTGAGGATTGGATCTGACAAAGTTTGCGAACGAACGTCTATGCATTGGACAAGGTGACCACGGAAATTGTCATGGATAGATACTGAATCACCAATCCACAGAAACGCCCCTTCCGTTGAAATCCTTACGACTGAAAACATGCGCGAAACACCCTACACCTGTCTGTCTGTCTGTCTGTCCGTATGTCTATATGTCTGTCTGTCTGTCTCTTCCGAACGGCACCACTGTCGACTCCAACCTCGCACAGACACAGATACATGCATCCATACGTCCACGACGCCTTGACGTGTGTGAATTTCTGTCTCACTCCGTCCTTCACCACACGGAATACACATGGGCACGGCCGACATACAATAGACACACATGTCGGCTGCACACATATGCGGAGGCGGTGGTCACGGGGATGCGGGAACACCCACATACGGATCGGTTGTGTGTACGGCAGACGGTCGATACGTATCCATACATTCCATGTACACGTCCTCCTGTCTGTGTGCTCTTCCTTCCTGTCGTACGCACCCTGTCGGAGGGATAGACGAGACTCGCGACACAGATCCACAACACGATGCGAGGTGTCCACTTCGCATCACCCCCTGCTCGGGCAACCACCCTGAAGCAAACACACAGACACCCACCTCGAGAACGAGAGAGACAAGAAGATTGAAGTCGTATTGCCTGCTTCTTCCCCATCGAGGGTGGCTGGGATGGCGAGCTCAGTTTGCTTCTCTGAAAACTCTATATCTGATCTCTGGTCTCCCTTCCTTCCGTGAGTGCATCCAAGCATGGCGAACGTAACAAAGTTTCAAATTTGACCACTGTTGGCATAAGTGGAGATGCTGGGCTTCGATCCCAGTACCTTCCGCATGCTAAGCGGACGCGATACCAATTTCGCCACATCCCCATCTGAACAGAGTATGAGTGACGACTTGCCGCATCTCAGATCTATCTGAACAAGACACGCCACACGGAGTAGAAAGCACTTTCTACTCACGTGAGGTATGGAGATCTAGCGCTATGCTCCGCTGTTCATTCTCAGGCATCAACCCAGATCAACAAACGCAGCGTAGTCATATCTCTTGGTTGTCTGAAGAGAAAAAGCCAATCGATATTGCATGCCCCTTTATGCTGTCTGGTGCGTGTATGCAGGTGTATCCAAGATGTACATGCTGGCCACCCGGCAACCGACACACGACGCCTTGTGTGACAGCGATAGCTCTCCTACCCCATGCATCACACCCTCTTCACTGACAAAAGCCTCGAGCTGCCGGGAGTGCAAGATACTCTTCATGGCCTCTCTGCTTTCTTGTCTTCTTGTCGGGACGATCGGCGCACCCGAGTCCGCTTCGTTTCTGCGCGGCCAGCAACCTGCGAGGCCGCGGGGATGTCTTCTTCGCATGATGACTCAAGGCCCCCAGGTGAGCATCACCCACATTCACCCACTGCGCGCAGTGTTGACGTAGAGAGGACCATTCATTTTGTTTCTGGTGTGTGTGGTCGTCTGCAGGTCGCGTCAGGCTGACAGTGGATGATCTGTTGCCCACGGCTGACGTGCCGCTGCCTCAAGTGGACTTGACGACAGAGCCTGAGGTGTTCATTGGGAGCGATTATGTCGACAAGGCCTATTCGCTGCTGCTGCCCGAGTACGGGAGGATGGACTCGTCGAGCAAGAGAGTGAGGCCAATGTCATTCGTCGGCTTCCAAGGCGCTGGCAAGAGCAGGATGCTGAAGGAGCTGTCTAAGAAGCTGCGAGAGGAGGGCATCCCTGCTATATTTATCTCTTTTGGTGACGAGACCGATTACGACGTCGACACCGAAGGCGCTTCTACGCCGTTGGCCGACTCACTCAATCTGCGGCTGGCATGGGCGGCGGCGACCGACGATGCGCGAGCAAGGGTCGCCCGGGCAGCGAATGTTGACGTGGACAAGCTCAACTTTACGATGTGGCTCGAACACGCATCCATCAACGAGCGGACCGCGTATGAGTGGCTGAATCACCAGCCGTGTGTAACGGACAATCGTACCCTCAAGTACCACCGCCAGCCGTGTGTCCTGCTCATCGACGATCTGAACCGCTTTGCGACTGTGAAGCGCGGCGAGCGCTCTAAAGCGGTGGACAGAGTGGGGGCACACCTCAGGTGCGAGTTCCTTAATGAGGTTGAACGGCACATTGTCTTCGCCGAGCCGAACAATGTGACCACTGTCAGCGACGGTCGTTCCCTCCTCGAAATGCTCCAGAAGCGTCACCTGCTCCGGCCAGAGCTGCCTTTCATCAAGGAGAACGACCTGGAGCAGGCTCTCAAGTGGAATGTGACTCGTGGAGCTATTTGCTGGGCCGGGAGATCCCCTGGACTAGTGTGGGAGATGTGTCAGCACGGTGGCTCTCTGGAGGCCAGAGTTGGTAGGGTCTCTTCTATCGATCAATCGACAATATTTGAAGCGGATGCGGTGTTATGTGATGTCGTACTGACGGCTATGGAAGGAATGGGAGCCAGTGGTTATTCCAGACCTCATATAGGGAACTGGTCGACACTGTTAAATGTCTTTGACGAAGAAAGGACTTCGTACAATCGGAGATATGACTACTGTCACTTATTGCCTCCTTGCTACCTTGCCGGTATGTGCGCGTCTCTGGCGCAATGGGACGCTCTGAAGGAGAAAGTCGACGAGTCGTTTTGTGAGGGGCTGAATGCTGTTGCCAGCAGCTTGCGGATGCTCAATCATGCGGAGGATGGACACCAGTGGGCTGGGCCTTGTACAGCGGCGGTGCTCATGCGATTGCTACAAGGCGAATTGAAACACCTACTCTACGTCGGTGTCGGCTATTTTAACGAAATTCCGCCGCAGGTCGGCACCGTCCTTCCCGACTCTCTCATTGTACCGTTGAAGTGGGACGAACAGGCTATGGGCTGCAAATTTGGCGGGTACTTCAGCAGCTCTGAGTGGAGCAACACTGAGGATGTCGTCAAGGCGTTTGCCAAGAAATATGCATCTCTGCCCTCAGCGAAACCAGGCTGTGTTCGGCAGCCGATCGTCTTTTCAGCCCGACTCTCATCTCTTCGATGATATCTATGACTTTTTTCTGTTCGTCGTGGGCAGCCATGGCAAGCTGACGGATATCGATGTGTGGGTGGGGCTACAAGTGTGTTCGCGGAGACTTGCTGCCACCAGGGAAGGACGGGTCCTTCCTCGACTATCCACAGCGCCGGCAACAATGGGAGAGAAACCGTGTATGGCCGCCACTTCCCGAAAATCTGCTGTCGGGCGCTGCCGACCTCTTCAGTGATCCCGACGTGCGGTCGATAAGGATCAAGTCAGTGTGGCTGCGAGGGGGCGGAGGAGGGCGGAAAAGAAAGGCATTTGTGAGGAGGCAGGAGGATGGACTTGCGTGGATTGTGCCCTCTCGGGATGATCTCGATGCATTGCTCGGTGTGGCACTAAACACAACATGTTCTTTTGTGCGTTCCAGCGCTTGTTCCGGCTGTTTTGCGGGTCAAAGGCTGACCCCTGAGACGATAGACAAGATGCGTGTGAAAGAGCTGAGGGAGTGCTGCAGGGCGGTGGGGCTACTGGTGGGGGGCAGAAAGGCCGAGCTGCAAGCGAGGTTGCTCGACTACGTGAAGTCGCTGCCGTAAGTGAGAGGTGAATCGATAGATTGGGAAAGCCGGGTGGTTTCTCATGTTCTCTCACTGGCTGAGTGGCACTACTCGGCTGATGCACTTGGAGGGATGGGCAATTTCACTAGTAAAGCGTTGACCTAAGTGTCATAGAGGACCCATGTGAAGTGTCGGATCATGCGATGAGCTGACTGGCTGTGACGGCTCATCATCGATGCATTCACGTCGACAGCGTACGCATGGCAACCGCAAAGACGCTTACGTATCCTGTGATCATGATCATATGTGTTGAATCTTGACGCAGCGCACACCGCGGCCAATGTTGTGCCGCTTACTCGTACGTACGTACCCACACGATCAGCGAAAGCATTCTTCTGTGCCATACACAGACAGGTCCGTCACGTCATTCACTGCCTTTCCCCTTCCCCAGTCTGCTCATGACGCCGTTCAGCCGACTTCGGATGACAGCCACACGGGATTCGAAGTCGGCCTGCCTGGCATCTCCTACTACGTTTACCGCACTTTCCACCGTCTTGCCTTCGTCATCGGGCTGCTCGGCGTGCGTGGCACCCTCCTGTGGCTCGTCACCAATGGCGCCATCTGAGTAACTTGCGCACTTCTGCTCGACGCCGGGGCGGGCTGGCGCGTGCTGTTGTGCCTGAGCAAGGGGGCTGCATGATGCACACCACAAACCGGGCAGATTGATAGTAGAGCGGTAACCCCGTCCCTATTGTACCTGCTCGCGAACATCGTTTCCGTCTTGCTGAGTGCGTCCTTCAGGTAAGAGACCGCAGCAGAATCATTTTCGCCTTCAGCAATGAAAAGGGTCTCCCTGATCTGCAGAAATTTTAAATGGGACGGGCGATGAGCCTCCATGCTGTGTCGTGATGCGGTTTGCAGGTGTGTGTCCTGACGGCTATCGGGATGAATGCGTACCGCCTGCTTTCTGCTCTCCTTCAGTAGTTTGCGGAAGACATCCGAACGGGCAGCGTCCTTGGCCATCTCACCGATGTCGGGGAACCCTGAATTTACTATGCGAATGGGGATCGTATGTTGGTTGCCTCGTGGACTCGTAGATCAGGTGTCTGGTTGTCCCCCTTTCATTTCAACGATCCTCTTTTACGATGGGAACCGAAGTCTGCTGAGTGGGAAGGGGCAGAGCTCTCTATGCATGTTGCTAGTTTAGTGGGTGACATGACAGGATCCCTCCGTGAGTCAACACAATAACCACTTATCCAACCACCCAACCAACCACCATGAATTATGTGCCCCCCTCCGAAGGGCGCAAAGTCATCTCACAGACACAGCCTGTACAGCAGCAACAAGGTGGGAAGAAAAGCTTCACAACGTACGCACAAACCACCAACCGACAAATGCCATCACGGCCATCAACTGACTCACCTCACCCTCACTACCACCTGCACCGGTCTGTACAGGCCTGTTGATCACGTGCATTCCCTCCTTTCCCTTCCTCTTCGTCTCATTCTGGATTTCACTGTACCTTTAGGTATTCACTCATCATATCATGAGGCACGGAAAGACGCGCCTCGCACCATGCAGGGAGACGAGCAAGCCAGCCCAGCACCACCTACCACCTTCTCCCCTGGTAGAGAAACACGCTGCTCACGACCATTGCGGCTACCCCTGACAACAACAGAGCCCACATACGTGCAGAGTCGTTCATAGAAGTGGCATCGACGCGTACCCATGACGAGAGACAGCGGGCCTCCGATCTCCTGCGTCATGGTGCATTTGCTGCCGGTGAACAAACGGCCGTCGTCCTCTCCCCCGAAGCACACCAAGCAGATGTACAGACCGCCGGCAGCTGTGAGCAACATGCAATACACACAATCTAGGAGGTAATAAGGCGCTCCATCCCAACCTTCTCATACCTGCGCCAGCGCCAAGCAGGACGCCAAGTAGGTTGGACACGACCTGCATCAAGACAGGTATTGGCATAGTAAGCACACGGCATTGGCATAGTAAGCACACGGGCTTGGCATTTATTTATGAGCTACTTGTCCGCTCACAATCACGTGCCGTGTCGTTGGGTAGAAACAGGGGGGGCTCGAATTGGCAGGTGTGCTTGGCGTGGGGTGATCTCCCGCTGCCTGCACAAACAAACCAACCAACCAACAAAGACGCTGTGTGCGCGTCGTGGGCGTCGCTGCGGCGGGTCCTCTGTCTGTTCACGTGTTCGGATGGTGGTGGGATGTTGTTCTCCGCCTGAGGCTCCATCATGGCCTTCCCCCCGACCCGGGGAAATAGCAAACGCGTCTGTTGACTGCTGTGCCTGAGGAAGGGAAGGTATGGGCTCCTCGGTGCCAACTGTTGTTCTATCAGCTGTGTGCGTGTCAAAGTGGCGGAGGTACCTGAAGTCAAGAACGAGAAGAAACAGAAGAACAGCAAGGAACCTTCAACGAGTGAAAGTACTGCATCATCTACAATGATCTATACTCGTGGATGGATGGTGTTTAGCGCTTGGGCCTCGGACTCCCACCCTTCAAGCTCGCCATTTTCCGAGCTCGCAAGATCTGGGGGAGCGAAGGGTGCCGATGCGGAGTGGCTCTGCCTGCGTTGTGAAGAGCGTTATTTCAAGAGAAAACGTGCAGACGGTTATGTAGTTGATCCAGGATGGACCACAACTTCTCAGCTCCCGTCGAGGCTCACCCGTTCACAGGGCTGCAAGCTGATCGGTCGCCCTATACGGTCTTCTACGTGCCCTTCCAGGTACGCTGATGCGCAGATCACCTGGCCTGGTCTCGCTCATGGCAGATGGTGCGCGTGCCTGGCGTGTGTTGATCAGTGCACAGAGGCGCACTTTGACACGCACTGCCCGCTGGCGCACACGCCCAATGAGATTTTGTACCACCCGTTGGTAAGACAGACAGATGCGATGCGCTCCACGAGAGTATAGATGCGGGCTGAGGGGGAGCGATGGTGTGATGATATGTGCGTATCTGTGTGGTCCGTCTGTCTGTCTGTCTGCCTGCCTGTCTGTGTGTCTGTGTGTCTGTCAGCTCTACAAGACGGCGCAGTGTCAGCGGCATCCGAATGTGCCTGGCGAGCAGTACAAGGCCTGCAATTGCTACCATGGCGCGGACAAGGTCGGCGGCACACGAACGGCACACGATTTACACACACGTGACATGACACGTTGAAATGCGTTTCCGGCCTGGGGCTGCAGATGTTCGGGTTTGCCTGTTGGAAGACATGGGTCCGCATTCACAGGCAGACAGACAGAAGGGGGAACGCTCGTTTCATCGCATCCAACGTGTTCACTGACACATACGTCTGTGGGCTGCTTGGCTGCAGACCGAGAAGTGGCCCAACTGGCGCGAGCGCTCCAAGGAAATCATCTCCGACATGCAGGAAGGTACCGTCCGTCCGTCCTCACGTGTCTGGGCCGTAGACGCAGCCACCCCACGCAGCGACAGACATTCACATTCGACACACATGCGGTGCGGTGGTATGTGTTGCCTGGCCTCCTGCAGTTGCCCAATACAATGCGTACCTTCGCCTGCGCCGCGAGACGCCTTTGGTGGAGAAGTACGACAGAGACGAAGCAGGTGTGCAGGTGACTATGTGACAACAGACCCTACCACTGTGCTGTTTTCACAGCTCCTGCGTGGATCACCGGTCTGCTGGACGAGAGCGATGTGTCCAACAGTGAGCATGGGAGCGAAGAAATGCAGCACCATGACGTTGAGGAATCGGTGAGGCTCAAGACACACCCGATCAATCATGTAGAGGTCCCCTGACTCATTTCTTGGTCTTGTCTTGTCTTGTCTTGTTGCTTTGCGGTGCAGTACGGGCAGCAGCCGTCGAGCGCTTCGTCGTCGATCATGCCGGCGGCAAGCGACGTACCGGAGGACACCCAGCCAAAGAGACCCTCAGGCAGCACCAAAAAGGTGCATAACTAGACAGACGGGGTCATCAGCGATGGACATGCACTGCACGTATTGATTTGATTGCTGCAGGTGATATTGCATCTGGAGAGCCATGGTGGAGGCGGCAGGGTCAGGAAAGGTACACATGCGCCCTACCCTACCACAAGAGACCACAACCCAATTACACCCACCCACCCACCCTATGGCATGACACTGTGTATGTACGTGTGTGTGTGTATGTGAATGAGTGCAGATGCGCGTCGTTCCCAGACGCCGGGTGCCGCCAGTGCTGCCAGACATGGTACGTGTGCATGCGTAACGTGGTCTACATGCGCCGCACCGTCCGAGCCTCACTAAGAACAGGCACACGTGCATGTTGTGTTTGCAGGGAATCGCGTGATGCCCCTCAACGATACAGAAGAGTTCCCATCCCTACCAGGTACGTACGTTAGGTGCGGTGCGCAGACAGACAGACAGACAGACAGAGAGATGGACGCCCAGATGCCCATCGAGATGGCCTTCGTGCATTGCATTCATGGTGTGCAGGGCCTCCCCCTGCTCGCGAGGATGACCAGCCGCTGTGGGGCGTCACAGAAGACAAGGACGGTACGGTACCCAATGGCACCCCACCCCCAATGCAGCCACATCTACTTGCATCCACCGATGGATGGATGGATGAATGGATGTTTGTACGTTTGTTGGTGCAGTACCGTCGTCTGCGGGGCCCCAGCCTGAGAAGGAGCCACGGAAACCGGCTGCACCAGGTAGTTTGTCAACAGACACGAAAAGCGTTCTTACTGGTTGGTTGGTGAGGACGCCCGCCCATCTATGTATGTGTGCTATGTATGGGTGGGTCGATCGATCGATCAGAGCCGCTGACCACTCTGCCGTCGCCCCAGGGGTCGAGAGGGTCGGAGGGTCTGCTCACTGCGTCCACCCCTGTCGCATTGACAGCAGGTACTGTATGTACCCACCTGCCCACACTGCACGCACCCACAGAGTGTGGACAAGTTTTGTCCACGATTCGATTCCATCCATCCATCCATCCATCATCCTTTTGTCGTGGCACTGTACGCGTGTGCTTGTGTTGTGGTGCGCCGCGTGCAGTTCCAAAGGCGCCCCCTCCCCCGCCCCCGCCCCCTCCTCCCCCTCTGCCTCCCCCGCTCCCACCAGTACCACCACAAACCAACACCAACACACAGGTAAGTAGGTACTGCAGTGCAATGACTCACCCGTTCTGTTGCCATACATACACTACGGATGGATCGATGGATGGATGTATGACAGACTCCTCGGCAGCCGAGTGGCCGCAGGAGGGAAGGGCAGAGGGACCGGGGCAGCAGACGAGACAGAGACAAAGACAAGGACAAGGACAAAGACAAAGACAAGGAGAAAGACAAGGATAAAGACAAGGACACGGACAGAGACAAAGACAAAGACGACAACAAGAAGGCAGAGAAGGTGGGCGGCTGGCTGGACACGACCACACGCACACGTCTTCCCCCCTCCCTCCCTCCCTCCCTATAAACATCTGTCTGTCTGCCGTGCAGATGGCGTCTGCGGCGGTGTCTCCCATCGTGCCTGATACGGTACCACGGACAGACAGGCGCACACGAGACATCCACTCCATACCATACATCCGACGGAGGCACCAGACCTGTGTGCCCCCTGCAGGCGCGCGTCGAGGAGCGTCCGAGCAGAAAGAATGTCAAGAGAAAGGAACAAACCGCCAGCAGAGGGAGGTCGACCGAGAACGCCTTCGCAGTGCTGAATGAGATGGATGGATCACCCAGGTACGTATACATGCCCACACAACTTGCCGTACCTGCCCCAATCCACACACGTGTGGTTGCCTCTGTGCTGCAGCCGGGATGACGACCAGGACCAGGACCATGACGGCAACGACCACGTGGAGTCTGAGGATGAGTGGACTGAGGTCAAGGGCAAGAAGGGACCCCTCAAGACCGCCGCACTCAGACAGGTGGGTCCCTGCCTACCTACCTGCCCGCCCACATACACACATGCCCTCCGTGAATGCATTGCACCTCATCAAAGCTCATGCATTTGTGCGTTCAGGATCGCTCCCCAATGACTCCGCCATCCGCATTTGCAAAGGTAAGGTACCCGCACGCACGAGCATATGTGCGGGGCGGGGCGGGGCCTACACAGACAACTCCCACAGAATGGTGTCCCCACATTCACCTTTGTTCAGATGCAGGGCGAGCAGAGCGACGACGAGTCCATCACGCCGCAAGACAACAACAGCACGCCAGCAAACGAAACAAACGGTACATGTGCACATCGACCCGTTCACCTATTTGCACCTTTTGGTACCCACCTGTCTGTGCGTCCCTTCATCCGTCCGTCCGTCCAGAAGCCGCCCTGCCGGCCCCCAGCAGCACCGCCGCCGGGAAGAAGAAGAAGCGCAGCAAAAAGAAAAACAAAAAACAGGAAGAGGTCAGCGGATGGGAGCTTGGAATGGGAGTGCACCCGCACCAACGGGATCAGTGTGGGCGTCTCTTTCCTCTCGGTGTACATTACCGATACCTGTGTGTGGCAGTCGTTGCTCGAGGAGGCCGCACAGCAGGCAGCTGAGGAGGCCGCACAGATGCAGGTAGGTATGTATGTAGGTATCTCCCTCCGTACGTGTCGATCTTTCTGTTGGCGCACAACACAACACGTTTGTTTATGGTTGTGCATGCGAATGTCCGTCCATGTGTGCAGCCTTCTGTGTCTCCGCCCTCGCCCGACATCCATGAACTCATGCCCGCATACACCTCACAGGCCAAAGGCAAGCCATCTCGACCCATACATAGAGATACATACACGTCTACGTGTCCATTTGTGTGTATTTGTGTATGTGTGTGTGTTGTGTGTGCAGAGGTGCGAGCTCTGCTGGCCAAGGCAGCTGACAAGCTGGAGAAGGATCGCAAGCGATGCGAGAAGAGCATGAAGATCGGTACGGTACCCTCACCCCCACAGGGCACCGTGGAAATGAGAAATAAATGCGATGATAAATGTGATATCTCTCTCTTAATTGATGCTATAGGTTCGCGTCTGTTGACTGATTTCCTCACTGGAGTGCGTCGCGACATGAGCGGCCTCAACTGCAGACACGTCTTTCTCGTCTTCATGGTGGGTGGGTGTGGTTCCCAACAGAGAGACAGACATCTCACCATCCAGTGTGTGTGGTTATCTATCTGTCTATGTGTGCGTGCAGTCTGCTGTGCTGTCTAACCACCGAGAGGTGTTTGCAAGCGACCTGCCCATCTGCCAGAGGCTGCGCCAGTACTACTACTACCTGCCACTGTCGCTGCACACGTCGCTTTTCAAAATGACTCTCAGCTACGGAATGCTCGGAATGGCCAGGTCAGTGGGCGGGCAAAGGAATGCAATCGACAGACAGACAGACAGACAGACAGACAAGGGCGAAGTGCACGGGCATGCATTTCGTGTCGTGTGTGGGTTATCTATCTATCCGTGTGGTTATCGTCAGTGCCATGACCACCATGTTCTGCTATGATGTGGACGCCGGGTGAGTGAATAAATGCCCGCGCACTCATCTCATGCATTTATACTTTATCTATCGATGTGTGTCGCATATGCGTACGTCCGTGTGGAATGCACTGTAATGCGATGTAGTATTGACGGCTTCAACCGCAGCGTCGAGCTGAGAGACCCCATCGAAAGCGTCAACTTCCTCAGGTGACCCCCCTACAGACCATTTGTCCATGTTGGTGCTCCTTCTGTTCTGTGTGCCCGCTGACAACCCACTGACCAGGGTGATCTACTGGAAGAGCGGCGGTTCCATCGGGCCCATCCCAAGTGCCACACAAATGGTCCCCAAGAAGGGCATACACGCCATCACAGAGGACGGTGCGGACGGACCCACGTGACACACGCGCTCTCTCGTTCGGTTCACAGTCATGTTTGTACGTCTGAGTGTATGGTGTGCACTGCAGTGATTGCTCTGGATCCCTTCCCCCCTGCCGTCGCGGAGCAGCACCATGCCGACGATCATGACGACGAGGGTACAGCGAACAACAAAAGGCACCCATACCATACCATTCATTCATTCACGTAAATGTGTGTTTGGTTTGCTGTGTGCAGCGTTCCTGGACTGCCTGTCCCAGCATGACGACCAGCAGGAGTGGACGGCACGGGAGCTCGACAGACTCAACAAACAGGTAGCTAGCTACGCACACACGCACCCACATACGCACATATAACACATGGACCGCATACGTACGTGTGTTGCGATTTACATGTGCCATCGATGGGCGTGTAGGTTGAGGAGCTCGCGCGAACAGCCGAGCAGCCCGCAGCTGCATCAGCATCGGCTTCATCGTCAGCGGCAGGTGAGCGAGACACTGACTGACGCACCTACCCACTGTACTGTACACCCTCCCAACCAACGAGACACTAACCCACACGTGACTGAGTGATTCTTTGACACGTGTCTGTCGCATCGCATAGGTTCCCTGTCGACGACGCCTCCGCCCATGCGTGGTGCCTCCCGGCGGCACGGGGACAGCGCCAACAAACCCGACAGCAATGTCAACATCACCAATACCAACGGCAACAAACGGTACGTACGTCAATTGCCATCCATGTCCATCAATACACGTCCTTTGGCGTCTGTCGGCTCTTTCTGTGTCTGCGCGAGGCAGGCCTCTGGTGCCCGACACGCACATCCCCCCAAAGAAGCACACGCCCAGCAGGTAGGTGCCCACGTGACGGTATGTGTGCAGCGTGCCCACGCGAGTGCTCATTGCTGTGTGCGTGTTGGTGTTGGTGTGATTGGTTCAGCACGAGTGTGGGCGACGACGAGGGCGGGGCGGTGCAGTCGTCACTCTGGGAAGTCGTACCCAGGTACAGTACACACCACACGGACAGAATGAACCTCACCTGCAAGTGTGCCAATTTCTGTGTTGACTCGAACGAACAGGGATTCGGTGCCCGGCTGTTGGCAGCGCCTGCTGGACGGCCTCTGTCTCACATACCAGGTGACGTGACATCAACCCTCCCCCCACTGATCTGTTTGGTGATTGCTGAATGTGTGTATGTGTGTGTGCAGAATCTGCACAGCATGATGCGTCTGATTAAGAACGCCCGCAAGCTCTGCGTCAAACTCAACGCACGACGGGACCTGCGAGAACTCATGGGTAGCAAGCAACAAGTGACACGGGGCTGTGTGGGGGCATGGGTGGGATGGGTGTGCATCTATCTGTCTATCTATCTATGGCACGTGCGCAGGTCACGTGCAGCCTCTGCGTAGCAACTTCTCCCAGACCTTTGACCTCTTGAAGCACCTGCACGAACGACTCAGAATGGTACGCACACTGTCTGCGCGCCCATGCCTGCCAACGAGTGCACCCGTTTGCTGTCTGTGCACATGGCTGCGCGTGTGCAGGAGAAGCAGCACCATGATGACGAGAGGAGGAAGGAGGTACGGCATCTATCCGTCCGCCCACCCATATATGCGCACATGCATCCTTCAGAGCGTGTGCAGACGCCCTCGCGACCATTGGTCTGTCTGTCTGTGTGTCTGTGGGTGTGTCGGTGTTTAGGAGGGCAAGGATAAGGAGGGCGCCAAGGAAGACGACAAGACCACCACCACCACGAGCGCAAGCAACACCAGCACCAACACGCGGTATGCCCCTACGCATGACAGACAGACAGACAGACAGACAGACAGATAGACAGACAGAAATATCCATAATCCATCCATGTGTGGGTGTCTGTCTGTGTGTGTCTGTGTGCATCTCAACTGTGCAGCAAGAAGCGTGGGTCCCCCCAGGCGCCCCTGCCCTTCGTCCCGCCACCGCCGCCCGTACTCTTGCAAGTACCAACAGACAGACAGACAGACAGACAGAGATGCATCCGCATCAAAAGCCCCACACGGTGACGTGACGTGACGTGGCCTCACATGGTGTGTGCCATTCAGGATGAGACGGACGACACGAATCGTGAGAGGGGGCGCAAGCGGTGCCGAGACGAACTGGTCAGTGAGTGAATGAGTAGGGAAAGTGGTGAAGCATCCATCCATGGGGCCTTTCCTTCTGTACTTGTATGTATGTGTATGTATGTGCGTAGGAGGAGGATGGCCCGATCGAAGATGACACCCAAGACGATGTGGGCTTCGGATATTGCAATTGATTACCTGCACATACAGACAGACCGATGCGTGTACGTTGCACGGTCCCCATCCCATCCTCTTTAATGCAGGTGCCCGAGGGTGACCCCGCTTTGAGCGAGGAGATCGTCGTCAAACTGCTCGAGTGGATGGAGGGCGAAACGCGCAAAATGAAGCAGGTACGTACACCCACATCCCCCCACCTGGCGTATGTATGCCTCTGCCTGCCTACGTCATCAATGGGCGCGTCATGCCTGTCCTGTGTGGCCGTGTGGTGACGTGACGCACAGGTGTTTTTGATGTGGAAGCGGCTGATGCGCGAGATACAGCAGTCGGAACGCGCACTCGCCAGGACAGGTACGTGTAGTCTGCAGACTCATAGACACCTTCTTGAACACCAACATGACCACTCTGCAGGCAATGGAAACGACATGGACGCACAGGACGGTCAGACACGTGCTCACGGACCCAAACGCCGTCGAATGGATGGATGGACGGATGGATGAATGGATGGACGTGTGGATGTGTGTGTTCAGATTTGGATCTGTCCCCGTTGGCTGACACCACTGACGCCACGGACGACCTGCTGGGCGGCATCGGCAGAGGCGAAAAGGTCAAACCAACACCAACACATACGATACTCCTGTGCAAAACATGACGTGTGCATAATAAATACGCGTGGTGCACCAGGACTGGGAGTTGGAGTGGGAGAAGCAGATGCAGGAGGCCACGGGCGGCACCACCACTATGGCCATCAACCAGGACAAGGACAACAAAGACGACAAGGACCGACGCAGCAAACACCCTCATGACGACAAGGTATTTATGGGTGGTCTCGCGCGTCAGTCAGCACACCACCTAACCTAAGACCCCAAGGATACGCACCTGCTGCGCTGCGTACACATATAGGCTGTCGAGCGTAAGGAGGGTGAGGTCAAGAAGAGCAAGACGGTCGACCGCTCCGCTGCTGCTGCTGCCGCCGCCGCCGCGGACACCCACACGGCCACGCGCACAGAGTCTACCCGAAGTGCACCTGCAGAGACACACGTGCGTAGGTAGCGTAGGCATCCATGCATCCATACACCCATACACCCATACACCCATGCGCACATCCATCCATCGGAACACGAGTCAGTCAGTACTGACTGATGTGGCTGTGCTGTCTGCCCATGCTATACAGGCGTTTGGTTTCCGCAAGGGCTTCCTCAACGACAATGCCAAAAAGAAATCTGACACCAACGGCAAAAAGAAAGCAGACAATAACCACAAGGCAAGTGCATACATACACCACACAAGCGGAATAATAAAATCCTCCGTGTCAGAAATGGCTGTGGTGTCGTCCCTCTGCGTGCACTCGTGAGTGCAGGCCGCCGTCCCCAGCAGTGGCAGTGGCAGCAGCAGTGGCCAGCGGCCGTGCTCGCACGTCCAAGAGCAGCAACAGCAGCAGCAGGAGACATCCATCGAAGTGGCCACCTTTGTCGTCCCCGCAGACAGAGAAGACGGGTACGTCTGCATGCATGGATGGATGGATGGATGTGCGTCTGCGCGTGTGTGTGTGCAGTGCTGCGCTCCGTTCGGCGTCTGTGCCCGCGAGAGGCTCTCATGTGGGAGAAGGTACACATACACCCACACACACCCCTCCAGACACAGACGTACCCGTGGATGCGCACACTGTATATATAAATGTGCGCACGTCCATTCATCAGGTGATCTGAACGTGCCCGTTGCCTTGCCCCTCTCCATGGCCAACATGACGCACCTCATCGACCACTACGTACGTTCCTATACAATACAATCCACACCAACCAAAGTGAGCACTCTAAGCCCGTGCGTCCCTCTGTGTGTGCACTGCAGGTGTTGTCAACCCTTGCCCACATACCCATGTTGGATCGGTTTCGGTCGAAACGAGCCACAGACGCTGACGGGGAGGAGGTACAGTACTGATTGATGCCGAACCACCACACACATGCCACTTTGCTATGCCCACAAGCACAGAACATCCATGCGCTCGGGTCATGTGTTCTCTGTCTGTCTGTTTGTCCGTCAGTTGCCCCCGCCTTCTCACGTCCGCTCGTCGTCTCTGCCTCCTTTGCTGCCCTCATTCGACGACATGCACGAGTTCAGACGAGAGGTCACCGCCAGATGGCACCAGGTGCGTGCGGAGACACATACTTACTATGTAGACAGCGACCAATCGGTGCCACGCCACGTGTGTGTGTGTGTGTGTTGGCTAGGGTGAGTGGAAGGTGACCCATGACACGGGCCAGCTGCCATACATGCCACAAAAGAGGTAAATAAGTATCGGAGGCAGACAATGAATGACGCATGATTGACACATAAGTTGCTTGGCTGCTTCCTTCAATCTGTGCGTCCGTCCTGCAGCACGTCTGTCAACGAGGCACTGCCACCGGCCGCCCCTGACAAGGACGACTTGGGCAAGGTGACTGGACTGACACTGGATGGATGCACCTCATGCACCTCATGTCACCCATGTATATGAATGATCTCACGCAGGCATCGAGCAGCAACAAGGACGACAAGCCCACCTCGGCAGCCAACAACAAGCAGAAAGACCAGCAGGTGCGGTGCGTGGCTTCACTCCCAATCACTCCCTCACACACATGCGTATCCATACCCCATACCTGACTGGCACATGAATTCGTTTGTTGGCCCCTTGTGATGCATGGGAATGTCAGGACGCCCTCGCTCCCCAGCCTGCGACCAACAGCGCCACCAACACTGCCAGCAACAATAACAATGGTGCCCAGGAGGAAGAGGAGCTGATTGTCACCACAGAGGACGAGAAATGGATGCTCAGACAGGTAGCTAAATCAATACATCCGTGTTATGGGGGTTGCTAAATGCACGTGTTTGTTGTGGGTGCGTCACGTCCAATCACAGGCGCCTCTGTTGGTCGACGATGCCACGCGGAAAGCACAGGTACACACCACAACGGCTTGGCTTGCAAGACCACGGGTGGCAGAGATGGATGGTATCTATGTCCCTGTCTGTCTGTCTGTCTGTGTTGTCTGTCGGTCAGCGATTGGAGCGTCTCCGCAGGAAGCGCACACAGCGCCTGATGGGCGGGGTCAAGTAAACAAAGACATACACCTGACGCACTCGTCAACTCCTTCGCCCGGAAACAAATTACTACCATCTGTGTGTGTGCAGGCGTTCGATGGCCAAGATGTCCCGCGTCGACAGACGAATGCTCGAACTCATCAAGTCCAAGTACATACACAGAGAGAGAATTCCACACCGACCAAACTAACTTGTCTTTCCTCCCTTGTGCGTGTGCTGTAGGGACCCGCTGGACACGAGCACCTTCTCGAGTGAGAGCGAAGGCGACTGGCCGGGATACCAGAAACAAGCCAACGGTGGGCAGGGAAGAGCGTACAAACACGCACGCACATTCGGGACTCACTCATGGCAGGAAGCATCCATCATCGATGGTACGTACGTACGGCTGGGTGTGGTGTGTGCGGCAGGTTGGAAGTTCGCCATATTCTTCCGGTCTGGTCGGTCCTCGTGGGTGCCCTCAGTCGTGTGGGAGAAGACGGGCGTCGCGTGCGTCGGGTAGGGATGGATGGATGGATGCACTCTGACCGACAGACAGACACTGCACTCACAGACAGACAGACAGACAGACAGGGACTCTCTCATTCGCATGGATGTGTGTGGTTGGTGGTGTCTCCATGCATTATTCATTGTCCAGGACGTTCACGCCTTCGCGCGCGCCGCTGATTGTGGCCCTGACAGTGTGCACCGCCCCCAAGATCGTCAGATACGGTGGGTGGGGGGACTGACAGACACAGTACGTACACCCGCGGCAGGTCGGTCCGTGATGATGATGATTGGTTATAAGACGTTCCCAAACTTGTCACTACCACTGATAAGTTGCTTGCATCGCATCCTTATGTGATGGGTCTTTCCCCGACTGATTGGATTGATTCCACTCCACTCCACTCCACTCACTCACTACACACATATGCATGCCATACATGTATCCATCTCCACCCACCAACCCACCGTTTGCCTGCCCGTGTGTGTATGTGTGTCTGTCTCTGATTGTGTGTTGGTGTGTCTGTGCGTTGCAGCCTTGACCAACGAGCCTGCGGACGAGACGGACAGCGGTACACGTACACATGCACACAGACACACACATGCATCCATATACACTACAAAGCAGTGTACGTACACTGTTGGCGCCATCCATCATGCTTGCTGATGTGATATATGGCATGCATGTTTGTTTGTGCAGATTGGAGTGAGGTGGACAGCGCCCTCTGCACCACTGCCAGAGCCGTGTTCGACCGATTCTTCTGGTGAGTACGGAAATGCGCCACAGAGCTGTATTCTTGCATGAATCACTGACTGTAGGTGCGTCGAAGAGCACTCACAGGAGTGGGAAGACAACCTAGGTAGGTCCACAAACACGGGAGCACATGAGTATTACAGCCATCCGTCCGTCCTTCCATCCGTCCGTCGATGCGTGTATGAATGCAGACACGACGATGGGCGAGATTGACGTGTTGGCCAAGGGTCAAAGTGGGGCTGGGGGGCCGGGCATCCACCCATTCGTCGCAGCCGTACTCAGCGAACACCTAGAAGTCGTCGAATGGTCCGTCCGTGCACTTACATACACACCCACTTCACTCACCGCATACACCAACAAAGAAGGGCAAAGACCGACCGATCGACATGCACTTGCCTGTCTGCTTACGTGTGGATGAATGAATATGTTCGTTCAGGATGTTGGACAAGATGCGCGTGCACTGCACCGCTCACAGCGGATGGTATTTTAAGGTATACATACATTTTCGTATGCACCAAGGCGTCTCGTCACTGTCACTACCGCCCACCTTCTGTGTCCGTCCGTCCGTGTGTGTGCAGCGCAAGCGTGTGGGTCGTCCGATGGCCAACGTCAGTGTGGTGGAAGCAGCCATAGAAATGGTACGTACACTCACTGACGAAAGAAATGAGACAGACAGACAGACAGACGAGTACATTTGTGGGTCCACCCGTTTGTTTGTGTCTCCAATTAGGGTAACGAGCCGCTGACTCTGCTGTTGCTCCAAGCCAACCCAGACGAGAGCAGCATACAGCTGCTCGAGAAAGCCGCACAGGCCAACAACGCCATGGGGTGCGTGCGTGCGTGCACGACGATCCATCCATCCATCGATCCATCCGGTGCCTACACACGCGGCACATTCGTTTGTGTGTCACAGGTTGGTGATCCGCCTGCTGCTCACGCGCCTGTCGCCCTCAGAAGCGCTGTAAGAACCGGAAAGACAGACAGACAGATGCCTTGTGTGCTGGGTAGTATTGTCTGCATTTGTATGTGTGCACTTGGCGCATCCATCTTCTGCAGTTCGTCCATTCTCTCCCGAGGGGACGGGGCCACCGGCAAAGTCGTCATCAGGTATGTCTGTATGTCTGTATGTCTGTCTGTATGTCTGTCGCCACATCCATCGCACGAAACAACGTGCATGTGCGCGCGTCGTGTGGATGCGATGCACTGCAGTTCGCTGACGGATCGCCAGCTGAGCGAGCTGGATTTGTCCAAGACGCCCCTGCACGCACTGGCGGCCGAGGGAGACGTCGAAATGATCGAATTCGCTACGGTACGTGTGGGCCACGCGCTGATTGACGTTGGTGCACTTGCGTGAACACATTTGCAGGGCAAGGGTGCGAACGTCAACAGTCCCCTGGAGCACAACGGCTACACGCCTCTCATGGTCGCTGCCACAGGTGAGCACTGCACACACCGTGCACATACACGTTGAGTGGGTATATGACGAGCGTATGCATGGTGCACGTGTGTAGGCAAGGAGCACCAGGGCGACAAGCTCGCCACTGTGCTCCTCAAAATGTGCGAACTGGGCGGCAAGGTCGAATACAAAACCAAACAGGTGCGGTGCGTACGCGCCTTACGCTACATGCCATCGATCGATTCCTTCACGCATGTTATGTTGCTGATCTGGTCTGTCTGTCTCTCTCTCTCTCAACTCAATGAATGGGCCTTCCTTCTGTGGCTGTCTGTGCAGGAGAACATCTCAGTGCTTCACGTCCTGCTCCAGCAGGTAATTAATATCCTCCTCCCACCCACCCACAACACAACACAAAAGGGGCAGGCACATTGATTGGAGAATCTAAATGCTCTTGCGTACCCTGCATGCATGCCTGACCTCTCTCTCAGCCCACTGCGGAGCGCCTGAAGGCAGCGCAGGCACTCTTCAGGTGGGCGCAGCGCTGAACATGCGACCGACAGACGAGCACACAGTTTGTCTGTCTGTCTGCACGTGCTGCTCTTGGCTGATGCAATGCAGATGGCGGTGCGACCGTGCCAAGACCAAGGAAGAACTGAAACGTGAGCAGCTCGTGGGCGTGGCGTGCGCGGGGGGCATGCTCATGTCTGTCTGTATGTGGTATCTGATGCCCATCCATGCATGGCATGCAGGTCTGGAGTCGTTCATTCTGCACAAGTCGTCTGCGTCTCGTGACGCCTTCCATGGCTACGGCCGTGGCAAGGCCCGCCAGAACGCCATTGCATCCTTTCTCAAGATCTGTGATGAGTGCGCCGCCTCCGTGCCATCAGAACCCAGCAGCAAGAATAGAGACAGAAAGGTATTTATATATATGCGGCACGGACCCTATAGTCACTCGTCTGTTTGCACCGCACCCATTTGATGCTCATCCATCTCTACCTACGTACGGTTTGCAGGCCAAGCTGACCGACAACAAGCAAACGCAGACGATCGAAACACTTCAGACACTGCCAGCAGCCAAGGTAGGTAAACAAACGCCCATGCACCGCATCGTATCCGTACCCATCCACCCACACCAATGAATGCATTGGCCCATACGTGAGGAAACGTGTTGGTGTGGCTCATCTATCTATCTGATCAGGACAAGGCGTCAGCGTGCCCCCAGCAGCAGCAGGGGTCGACCAAGAGCGACAGCAGCAGTGCGGCCAAGGGCGACCAGCGGAAGGCCAACAAGGGAGACAGCACCAAGGCCGACATCGCCATACAGACGCCGGAAGACTTCTCACGCTCTGACGTACACACTCACGCATAGGCAGATGACGGAATGTGTGGGCGTATGTATGTGATTTGCCTGTCTATCTGTCTGTCTGTCTGTGTGTGTCGGCAGGAAGAGGATGAGAAGCATGCGGCTGCTCATGCCAACCCTCAAGACGAGGCCTGACCGACCCCTTCACTCACTCACTCAGGGAGTGCTCGCATGGCATGCGGTGGACTCTCTGCGCATCGGCGCACATGGATAGCCTGCTAGAGGGGAGGGACACTAGGAGGGAGGGAGGGAGGGGAGGCAGAGGGGAAAAAGGACCCGGCTATGCGAGCGGTGGGTGACGAGTGTGGGTGGGTGAGGTGACTGAGTGGATGGGTGAGTCGGGGTTGGGTGGGTGGGTTGGGTGGGTGGACGAGTGGATGGATGGGAGAAGGGAGGGATGCAGTCAGTGCAGCCTGCCACCAGGGAGGCAGGCAGGCAGGAAGGCAGGCAGGCGGCTTTTTTGATTGATTGATTGAATGAATGATTTGAACCCATCGACTGACTGACTGATTGGCGACTGACTCTCCTCTCTGCAGTATGTATGTCAATTCGTTGTTCGCTCCTCTCTCTCTCTCTCTCTCTCTTGCCCGGGTCGATGCAGATGTTTGTACGTGCACACTCCCTGCCTGCCTGTTCTGCTGCTGTGTGCATGGGACGGCCTTGCCTATGGACAGACAGACAGACAGACTGACTGATGGCTAAGTGTGTGTGTATCCTTGACTGTAATGGAGAAGTGCGAGTACTCACTACATGAATTCCGTCAGTACGCATTCATGACGGTGACGCGCTGATTTGTCCTGTCCTACAGAGAGTGCATCAGTGTCTCCTGTCATGGAGCTACAGGCACCACACGAGCAGTATGAGGTAGGGCAAGGCCAATGAAACAGATTTCCACCAGTTGCCCTGAACTGCCTCTACGGCGTCAAATGGTGAGCTCAAAGGCAAGATGGTGAGCTCCCTCCACGCAGTTGCGGTGGTCGTCCTTTCTGCCATTCCGCTAGGCGATGCCCTTCGTGACGCAGCCATCCCCAGTCTCAGCGTGTTCATTCCACCGCTTTCACTGAGAGGGAGATCTGCTCCATTACGACGTCGTGCAGCACTGGCGGAAGATGATGCCACGACAGTAAGGCGGCAGATACAGACCTTCCACAGATACAGTCGTGTGTTGACTGTGATTGTCTGTCTGTGTATGTAGACTGTAGGGAAGAGGCATCAGGACGACCTGCCCCGCAGAGTGGTCGTGGACGAGGCGACGCTGAGTGGTGAAATACACGTGATGAGATAGTCATATGCGAGACTTTCATCTGCCTCTTTTTCAGACCTCAGTTATGAGTTTTCACACCGCGAGCGTTATTGCGGTGCGTGCCGTTCGCTGACGGCCAACTTGTATGGCAACCTCGTGGCACCCTTACTGACGCTGCTCCGCAAGACCGGCCTTCACATCAGGAGAGTCGTTGATGCATACAACCTTCGCGACCCGAACGTCAAGTCGACAATCTCGGAGGTCCATGACGTGATCTTGGAGTGCGAAGGCAAGAGGCTCCTGTTCATCATCGTTACGCCCGGGCCCCTGAATGGATGGCGGCAGGAAGAGGCGCTTCTGAAGGGGCTGATGGGTGACGGGCTGACGCACGGCTTCATCACGGATGGGGTGTCATGGCTTGTGGTCAACATCGCCTGGTTCGACCCAGAGTGGGTGGATGGCAGTCGCGAAACGGTGAAGAGACTCTACTTCGAGCCAGAGCGGATGTTCTGGCTACCGATCGAGCCGCAGGCCATTATGGACTACCTTGTGGAGGCTATCGGGAGGAAGCGAAAAGGTGACGACTTTGACGCATTCTATCACTTAGAGGGCTACGAGGGCTACGAGGATACGGGCGGGGTACAAGAGATGCGAGGATGATATATACGGCTTCGCAGGGCAGAAGAGATGAGGCAGGCGATGAGACAGACGGCTACGCGGTGTGTGTCTCTGTGTTTGTGTGTTTATGTGCTTGTGTGTTTGCGCGGTGGATATCGTTGAGTCATCTCAGATAGACAACGGCAAGAGATACAAAGGCTTGACACGTAGACATGCGGGCAATTCAGACGGTTTCTTCTCTCAAACACACCCGCCCCCCTCACTCTCTCCCCATTATGTGCGAACATAAGGGGGGCAAATGCCATGCGGCTGGCTCGGCAGAACATTCAGTTCATGGCTGTGAATATCTCTGACGCTCCTTGACTCAGCCTGTCGATTGCGCCTCATCATACACAACTTTCGAAAATTCCACCAGTAGACGTGGGAGTCTCTGCAGTGGTATGGCCTTTTGCAATGAAGCGATGGCTTTTTGACTGGCGAGTTGTCTTCTGTACTGGTTGACCTGGCGGGGGGCACCGAAGGTGCCGGGAGCGCCCCAGGCAGGTCAGTTCATCTGAGTGTTTCATGTGTGGTGGAGGGAGGGATGCAGGCGTGAGACTGCGGGAGCGACACAGAGTCAAAATGTTTCGTCGTTTACGCCTCCTTTGCCCTAAACCATGAAAGGTGCAGAGCGTGCGGCAGCACACAGAGAAGAATGAGCGTTGCCTCGGTGTTGGTGTTTGATCCCAGCCGGAAGGCGCATCGAAAGAAGCCGACAGAGGAGGATGTGCAGGATGCCAAGATCATCTACTACCACCCGTCAGGCGCCAGCCCGGAGGAAAAGAGGCAGCAAGTGGGACTCGTGGAAGGACTTATCTCCTTCACAAGGTCAGGTCACACAGAGGATCCTCACCATCCTTCCTGCATGATTCTCGTGAAGCAACATGATCTCATTTTGTTTGCTTGCTTGCAGGATGTTCAGGGAAAGTGAGGGCTCTCCCGCGTTCAGGGCAGTGCGCACCCAGCAGCATCTTATCGTTGCCAGGGAGTGTGAACCCAGCATCTGGATGGCAATGGTGAGGTTAGCTATTCATTCGCACACCGGCAAGGAAGCCAGCCCATGTCCGGCTTGTCCATTATGGCAGGCGCTCCTTCACTCAACAACCAGCGGACTCGACGGTGCGGACGCCACAGACTGGGACGACGATGACGTATCTGACACCGTGCTTCTCGCGGTGGGTGGACAGGAAAGGAAGGCACATCGGTCTTGTATCTATGTGGGGGTTGTTTCCTTGCCTCTCGCCCTGCTCAGCTACTTCGCAACTGCCACGAGGTCTTCACACTTCTCCATGGCCGCATACGGTCATTCTGTGACCGGAAGAGCAGGCTGTGTGACCTTTTTGAGGACTTCATTCCCGCATACATTGCCACTATCGACTGCAGCGACCTGACGATACTGCACGGTGAGTGAGCAGTAAGTACCTTGTCAGGTGATGTGTTGCCGCCACTCACCGGCTTCAGAGATGGATGGCTATCACTTCGGTCCAGTTGAGAGGGGAACCTACTTGGCCATACAGGTGGCTGCACAACGTCACTCACTAGGACTTTTTTGTGCCCGGAGAGATCGTTTGCTTGTCTCTGGTTTCTTCCTCACAGTCGTTTCTGAGCGTTTTGCAGCGGAACTTTCCCGTGATTCGCTACGCAGCCCTGCTTTATGATGCATACCTCGTCTACAGCGGGTACGGGAGGAGTACTGATTGATTGATTGATTGATTCACAGCCATGAAGGGCGGCAAGCAGTGTTGCTCTTGTGTGCCATCCGTTCAGTCTCCCACCCGCCGACATGCGCTTGCTGTATTCCTATCTCGTGTCCTACGCTAACGGCAACGTATCAAATCACAAGCTCAATCGACGGCCTTTCGGGCGGATGCCGACGGCAGCATCGCAGGTAAGGATGTCGACACGTTGTGCAAATCTGTGTACGCACGTATGTGTGTGTTTATGTGTGTCCCTGCAGCCTGGTGGAGGGTCATCGAGCTTCGGCCGCGTACAGCTGCTCGAAGGGAATGAGGATGGATTCATATTCGGGCCGTCGAAGTGAGCAAGCGCCGATGGCTTGTGGCTTGCCTGTTGATGTGTGCTTGCTTTTCTCATCAGCGTGCCTACCGGCTCTGGGGCGTCCTCGATGTTTGTGCCACCCATTGCTCTTCACAATGGATCAACCGGGCAGCTACTAGCCTTTCTGGTCGGCATGCACGATGCACGCGGAGATCCGCTCCGTCACTTTGGGTCATTGTGTTGTCTGCACTCAGTACCAGGGCATCATGCTTGTGATGGTGCTCCACGGCGGGCTTGAGGGGGACAGTGTCGATCGGAGAGCCCGGCTGGCGTTCGACCCTGGTGAAGTGCCAGCGCTGCACGAGGCGGCCGTCTATTCACCGGGGGGGCTCAAAGATCTCCTCCCATCCGTACACGAGCAATTCACTCGCATCATGAGGTAGGTACCCGCAAATTGTTGTCGTGCGGAGACGGGAGGATGGGAGGGAGGGACGTAAGCGAGCGACATTTTGTGCGCTCGAGTGTTTGTTTGTGCAGCCAAGAAGATTCGTATCGTTTTGTGTACTTCAATGCTGCGAATCATGCAGTGAGAAAGTGAGGCGCATGGGAATCGGGAGGATTCGAACGCAGCACAGCTTGTGTGCTGTGAGTCGGGTCAGGTCGAACCGTGCGACTGCAAGTGGGAAAGAGAAGTGCTCTTCGTCTCTGCTGCCCCATGAGAGCCACGTGGTGCAGAACATGCATGCAGTATTCACCGACACCGACCCGTAAGCAGCCTCGGGTGGCGATGAGGTTGCTACTGCCTTCGTGTACATTCACACTTCTTCAGGGAATGTCGTGAGATACTGCTCAAATCATCAGGAAGCGGCTGGATTGGCGGCAAGAACACTCTCGACAGGTCAGATCACGCTCTCAGTTGGAGACCATATCGAAAGGAATACTTTGTGCTGCCCATGGATGATGTGATGCATGCAGGGAGTTCTTTGTCGCCCTTGACGGCTCCAACCTGTCCTTCACGAAGGCACAAGGTAGCACGCGCCTCCGGTGCATCAAGTACACCACTGCCTCGCTTTTATGCGCGTGTGTTTGCATTGCAGATGAGATGCAAAAATTCGGCACGATTCACTTTGCGAATATCTTTATCGATTGACTTTACGCCTTGGTCCAGTTGAGGTCTTTATTGGTGTCCGAGGCATGTGTTGCGAGAGAGAAGCGAGTTGCCGAGAAGGGAGTGTACAGATGCATGGCATGTGTTCCCGGGTAGTTGCATTGTGTCTTGCCGGCACGGGAATGGTCAGCAAGGTCATCATGTATGTACACATGTCAACGAATATCAATACAAGCACTCGCCTCACGACACATGTCAATACAGCTATGGAGGCGGCGGCGCTGTCGCTGTCCCTTGGTATCCCATCATTGCCTGTTGCGGGATCGGCTGAGGCTGTGTGATGTACAGCACTGATGGGTCGTTTGGATCCACGTAGGCCATCTAAAAGACACAGGCACACGTACGGACAGATGCGTCAAAATGCGCTGGACAGCAGAGTGGGCTGGACAGTAATGGATGGGTACCTGACTCAGCTGGCCGGCTTGTGCTCCTTGGATAAACTGCGATTCTGAAGTACACAGACAAAGACAGAGAGAGGGAGGGACCAAACAGGAATGAGCAAGCGAAGCCCTCCGGCTTTCGTCCCTTCTCGCTTCTCTGCACATGCCTACGTGTTCCGGGTTGATTGGTCTCCCCAAGGATGCGGTAGAAAATCGGAAGGAATGTCCCGCAGCCGCCTGCATCCAACACTTGCTCACATCCGTCCGCCCGCTCCATCCATCTGTTATCGCCGACCCACCTTTATTGAAGGTCAGTGACCAATACGCCGTTCCCGCAATCGGATTCGGAGCTGTCACCTTCTGGAGAAAGGCATAACGAAGAGTCATCGGAGCTCCTTGGGTCATTACGACGAGGTAGATGGCTGACCGGTGCAACGTGTCCATCCAGGTAGTTCGCACCGAAGATGGGCTGCCTGAAATGAGGGTTCTGCATCAACGACTGCCCACGCACCATCGGAAAACGACAGACGTCGACTACATGCACTTTATCCATTCACCGCTTACCAGTGGTATGTCGAAGCTAGTCCATTCCCCTTCAGGCACGCGCCCCTCCCTCAAAAACACCACGCGGTTCCTGCGTTACAGAGGCGGACACAGAGAGGCGACCACCAAACAGTCCATTTGGAAAGGGCCGTTCGCACATTCACTCACGATGTCAGAAAGAACGCCCCCTTCCCCGTCATCTTCTGCTTCCTGCAGCATTAAATCCACGCATCTCATCTTGGTTGAACAAGGTCACTCATTCGTTTGCGAGTCTACCCTCTCGGCCCCGGGACATCTGCTCTGAACTGTATGCCATCTCTCCGAAGAAAGAAGACCTCCCCAGGCTCCGCAAGCGGGAACAACTGACCTGATAGTGTGAGTGACAACGTCCCTCAAATCTGTCTTTTGGTCGCTCACGTGTGAATTGGTCAAGGGCAAGAACAGGATTGATAGCCATTTCAATGACGAGAAGCTTTTCGTGTTTTTTGACGTTTGAATCAACACGAAGAAAACACGGGACGATTTTGTGTTAGGGTTGGAGTGCGAAACGAAAGGGAGGAGGAGACCATCGTCAACGTCCCAGCCCTGCGATCTTATCTCCCTAGGTGATCTGTTCTAGCAGAGATGAAGACACTATACGCCCCCAATGATTGAGTCGGTTATTTCTCGGCTGTTTCTCCTCCTTTTCGGATGAGGGAGCGTGTATCGGACTACACCCAACCCCCCC